TGTCAAAGGTGCTTCCCCACGCTGAACTTTACGGTATAGATGTGGGGGCCTGCATGAAAACTTCTAAGCTTAACTACCAGCTTACATCTGGTCCGCTGCCACCACTCCCAATATGCTAATTCCCTTCCCTGGGTAGCCTGGAGAGACTCTTCACCAATTCCCTGGTGAATACAGATCCAAACCCCTTGGATCTTAAAACAAGGGGAAATTAACCATCCCCCCTCCTTTCTCCCACCAACTCCTGGTGGATCACAATCCAACCCCCTTGGATCAAAAAACAAGGAAAATCAATCAGGTTCTTAAAAAGAAGGCTTTTAATTAAAGAAAAAGGTAAAAATCATCTCTGTAAAATCAGGATGGAAAATAACTTTACAGGGTTATCAAGCTTAAAGACCCAGAGGACCCCCCTGTAGCCTTAGGTTCAAAGTTACAGCAAACAGAGGTAAACATCCTAGTAAAAGGTACATTTACAAGTTGAGAAAACAAAGATAAAACTACCACACCTTGCCTGGCTGTTTACTTACAAGTTTGAAATATGAGAGACTTGTTCAGAAAGATTTGGAGAGCCTGGATTGATGTCTGGTCCCTCTTAGTCCCAAGAGCGAACAACCACCAAAACAAAGAGCACACACAAAAGCCTTCCCCCCCTCACCAAGATTTGAAAGTATCTTGTCCCCTTATTGTTCCTTTGGGTCAGGTGTCAGCCAGGTTACCTGAGCTTCTTAACCCTTTACAGGTAAAAGGATTTTGGAGTCTCTGGCCAGGAGGGATTTTATAGTATTGTACACAGGAGGGCTGTTACCCTTCCCTTTCTAGTTATGACAGCCCCGTTTTTAAAAAAATGTCACAGTTGCCAAAGTCCTTCAGTCATTACCATTAATACCCACCTTGAGTGCCGAAATGCCACAGTTTTAAAACATCTATGTACCAATACCCATTGCAAGTTCCCTGAATTGCTTTGCTATCAAGAACCCAGGGTAAATTGTAATTTTATTCCAGCTGCAAGCTCAGTTTCATTTTAAATTGTCCTATTATGTCAGCCTTCCACTGGGAATCCCTGAAGCCATGGTATCTGCCAACCCATATGGGCACACAACTTCTGCTTTGGGGAGAAATGCTAATCTGTCTCCTGATGAGATGTGTGAAGAGCTGTACCCCAGATAAAGGATGACCATGATTACCACTTAGTCTTGTGCTTTAACCACAAGACCAGGAGTCAGGAGACCTGTATTCCAATCCCAGTTCTGACGCTGTCTCACAGTGTGACTTGGGACAAGCCTAGACAAAGATACAACTATGGCCTCCTCTACACAAAGAAGTGATTGATTATTATCAGTGGTCACTTTAAACTGCACCTGATGCCTGCTGATATTACCAATGCTGTTGAAAGTAATTTAGGTGATAACATAAGCAAGACAAAGTCATTTATAATATTGTTACAGGAAGCATGATTGACACTTACTGATACTGATACCATATTTTCCTTAACAGTGTTTTAAACAGTTTTGCCCTATCTACACTAGTAACTAGATCATTTTCGCCAGAACTTCAGGGATCAGTGGGACCTGTTGCTGAAACCACGATCAGCAATAGTCTCTTCATGCTCTTTGCGCCTCAGTTTCTCATGTGCAAAAGAGAGATAATATATACCCAACCCGCTCAGGTGTGTGGTTGAAGTGAATTACTTTCCAATAGCCACTCACTATTGGTGCTAATATGTTATTATTATTTATTATTCCAGAAGCACATAGGTGAGCCTGTCATGGATTAAGACCCCAGTGTGCTGGGTGCTGTACAAACAGCTGTCCCTGCCCCCAAACAGGCTTATGCTCCTGGCTCATGCTGGTCAATGAGCTGTTCAGTTGTACAGGAGAAACTGGTAGCAATTTCTTTGATGTTTTCAAAGGCAGAAGAGAAGCATAGAAATGCTGGGTTGGAAGGGCCTGTGAGAAGTCATCTAGTCCAGCCCCCTGCACTGAGGCAGGACCAACTAAACCTAGACCATCTTTGACAGCTGTTTGTCCAACCAGTTCTTGACAGGAATTCCCTAGCTTCCTTTGGAAGCCTATTCCAGAATTTAACTATCCTCAGAGTTGGAAAATTTTCCTGGTATCTAACCTAAATCTCCCTTGCTGCAGCTGCTTTGAAAGCAATTCAGCTACAGGAAAAGGCTAGCTTGTAGAAGTGTCAGTTAGCACCAGTTATAACTGGACTGATATGCCTTGACATGAAGACACCCTGGTAGAACCCAGTCTGTCTTTGCAAGATGGAGAACTGCCTATTATTGCACATGTCTGGCTGGGGAATTTCACTGTTCTATAGCTCTAGACCTAGCTATTCTTTGGATAGATTAATCAAAAAGAGGCAGCCCAGGTCTCTTCCCCTAAGATTACATTCAACATACAAATCTCATATTTCCCAGACACTGGGAAGGAAGAGGAATTGCAAAGGGTTGCAGACCCAGCCAAAGCAATGTTTTTTTAAATCAAGCTGGGCACTGAAGGGTGTTTTGTAGCAAAGCTGTTGCTCCCAGATTCATAGACCCACCACTTTTGTCACACCATTTTAATCACTGCTGAAGGCTGCTGTGCACTGTCTTTTAGTTTAGTGGAGGCGGTGGAGCTGCACATCTCAAACCACACCTTCTGTTTGCTGTTCAAGAAAGCCGGGAGCAGAGGGAAGTATTGCCGTAGGGTGCATTCAGTCGGAGTTTCAAAATCTATAAAGTTACGAGCACACCACTATAGGTACTGCCCTGGCAACATTCACCCTTGGTATTACTGCCTGGGCAATCCCTTGTTCCACGTGGTTTATAGTGAAGTCATCTGGGCAACCCTGTTGTGTGTGATGTATATTGAAGTCATCATTAGTGCTCCAGGGAGCTTCCCCCCCCCCCCATCTCAAATTAATCGATTTCTTAATGTTACTCCAAATGATCACTAAGAAAATATCCTCCCCCCCAGCTGGGAAGTTACAAGTAGCACTGTAAGGAAGAGACTCCCCCTGAATGGATTATTGCTCAGCCTACCACATACCAGTTTACCAGAAGATGTCTGGTTGCTTTGCTTTGTGCGGATATACGACATTTTAAGAGCTGCATTTCCAGCCCACAACCTGCAAGCTTCTCCTTTCCCTCTGGTAGGCTAACACTGAAACAGTGGTCAGCTGCTGCCTTCAGAAGCGGTTGCTGACAAAGGATTGGCTGCTTCATCTGCAAATCAAACTGACAACCTGCCGGAAGAAGGAACAGTCCCATTCCACAAGAGGACTCGGCTACAGAACTGCAAGTAATTCCCCCCTTTTAACCACGTTCTTTGCAACGTTTCTTACAAGGGACTGTAAGAGGTAGCTGCTGTATGCCCGTCCCAGCAGCGAGGCTCTCTGCTAGCGCCAGAACACGCCTTTCCTCCAGGGAGTTTGTAAACAAGCGATAGAAACTCAGGCTAGCTGAGGGCAGCCATCTCTCCTGAAATGCAGAGGCCAGGGTCCGTTTCTAATGGCTATCAGCGTCCTGACATTTAGGGATGGATGAACCTGGGGCGGAGAATAGCACTCCCTCCTTTCACCCAATGCTGAGCACTTCTTACTTCTTCAAAGCACTTGCAAACATTAACTAACCCCCACAATTCTCATGATCTGCAAGGGCACGTAGCAACCTAGACCTGCCCCAGCTATGCCTCTGCCCGCCCTGCTGGATTCTGGGGTCTTCCTCTCACAAGGAACTGAGTCTCATGGCAAGCGGCCCTTTCTCTCGCTGCCTCAGGGCTGCTGCAATTACATTGATTGTGCTACCCTAGTTTTAAAGGAGACCCAGAGGACCCGCCCCCACCTGTCATGCAATGCCTTTGCAAATCCCACAGCATTGCACATGCCCAGCACTGGCTGATAGTAGCAGGAGTTTCCCCATCCTGCCAGGGTTGCAACCACTGAGCACGCTCCATTTCAGAGACGGATAAAGATTTATTGGGGCCCTGCGTACAAAGAACGTTTATTGGGGCCCAGGGGGTCCAGAATCGGGGGAAATAGGGGGGCATCACCCCCTCCCTTTTAAAAGTGAGAGGGCCATGCCCACCCATTTTTTAACATTGGCGTAGTAGCCTCAGGCAGGCACAAAGTGGCAGCTGCATGGGTGTAGTTTGGGGGAAGTGTGTGGGGGGGTGTTGCCCTCTCAAACTGCAAGCCTCAGGCCAGAGGCAACAGAAGGAGCAATGCCGCATGTGGTTGCTGCCTCGGGCATAAAGCCCAGGTGGCAGCAGGGCGACCCAGCAGAGGCAGCCTGGCAGCAGTGGGACCCAGTGGGGGTAGCTTGGCAGAAGGAGCCGGGCGCAGGCACTGAGCGAGCCTGGGTGGAATGCAGTGGCCGCGGAGGCTGGAGGAGCTCTCTGCCCAGCTCCTTGCTGCCAGTGACCCTCCCGGGGCTTCCTCCCGCCTCCCAGGCCAAGTCAGGGCCTCCTCTCCCCACAGAGCATGTCTGCAGGCCCTGGGCAGGGGGCAGGAGGCTGGACCAGAGCCCCTGCCCCATGGTCCCATCAGCAGTGGCGTGCCCCAGTGGGCGGGGACATGGGCTGGGGGCTGCTCTTGGACACTCTGGCCCCCTGCTCAGGGCAGGTGCAGGATCTGGGGCACCCCACAGTGGTCTGAGCTCCCTTGGCAGCTCTTACCACTGTCAGCTCCAGCTTCTGGCATGGCCAGGGGGCAGGGCCTCTGGTGGGGGAAGAGGAGGAGCAGGGGGCAGGGCCACAGTTCCGGCGACGGTGGCGTCCCCGCCACTTCTACCCAGGTTCTGGCGCTCCTGCGGGGGCTCTCAAATTGGCCGGGGCCCCTGGGCATGTGTTAATCCGCCACTGCCTGTAGATTAGCTATAGCCCAACGTAGCCAAAGATCCCACAGATGATCGTAAAACCAAAGACCCTGTAGAAGAACTTGAAAAGAGCAAAACCAAAAGGTCAGTGGATGAGCAGGTAAACAATGGAGCAGGTCAAAGCAGTCTTCCTGCTGGAATAGGTTTGAAGTTCCCATCTGATAAGTCACTTTCACGATTCAGTTTTATCACCGGAGCAGTTGCATATGCTTGTACAGATTGGTCCTTGCCTGCCCACTGAGTGTGATATGCCAAATTGAGAGTTTCTGTTTTTCCTACAAGCTGCCATTTTTCCATCTTCATTTTACAGCATGATAAAAGCACTGCATGAAGATTTGCATGTCAAGTGGCTTAGCATGCTCATATCTTTCCGATTACACATACTGTCACATCTGTGATTGTTTGGGGATACAGAAGCTCAAAAATCACATGGTTAACAGGTTTCAGTGATTGGAAGAATATGCTAAAGTTAATGGCTGTTCATGGGAGGACCAAAGAACTTCTGCAGTCACATGTGGCAGCTTTACAGTTTTGACCCTTTACAAGTATCAATGCATGTTTTGATAAACTAGCATCTGAAAATATTAGGAAGTTGCAAGAAGAACTAAAAATATTCCATGACACAGTTAAAACGTTAGGTAGTTTAGGTCTCCCTTTTCACGGCCACTGTGAAGTGTTGGAGAGCATCTGTTGTGGCATTTAGTTAATTATCATGAAGCTACTTGCCTGACTTAATACAACTTTTGCCCTACATATCAATGACACCAAGAGAATCAAATACTTGAGCAAGAAAATTACAGATGAACATATAAGTCTTTTTGCCTCAGAAACCAGGAAGCACATAGCTTCTTTGCAGCTAGTAAGTAAGTTTTTTACTGTCATTGCAGATGCAAACATGTCGATCAAATGGCTTCACTTTTTTAATATTGATCATATCAAAGGAAAAGTAGATATAAAAGAGCATTTGTGGCAGTAAGAGAGGCAGATGCTGCATCCTTGTGTGACAAGTTAACTGAAGTTTTATTTGACAAGTATTTGATCAGAAAGTAACTAGATAAATTCATGGAGGATAGATCCAACAATGGCTCTTAGTCAGGATGGGCAGGGGTGGTGTCCCTAGCCTCTGTTTGCCAGAAGCTAGGAATGGGCGACAGGGATGAATCACTTGATGATTACCTGTTCTGTTCATTCCCTTTGGGGCACCGGGCACTGGCCACTGTTGGTAGACAGGATACTGGGTTAGATGGACCTTTGGTCTGACCCTGTATGCCCGTTCTTATGTTCTTATGACCGGGATATGTTGGGGCCAGTGTTATGGCTGGATCTCGTGGGGGAGTGCAAGCGAAAAAGAGAGAATATCTTTCAGGCAAGGGAGGCAAAGTGTGTGCACCATATATCCATTGCCTAGCACATCAAATTAACCTAGTTTTGGTTCATGCTTCTGAAGATATGGCCAGTCCAGACCTGAAGATTTTCTTCACAGCTTTGCAGGGAATACATAAATATTTCACAGACTAGCCATCGATGTGGAAAAACTAATGATTAAGTCTAAAAATAATCTTTATCGTCAAACTCTTGCTGGAGAGAGTACAGTTTTACAAAGAGAAGAGGAACTTGATGATGCACTTTAGGCCCCTGAAGTAGCTGACAGGATTGATGCAGCAGCTGAAATTGCACAGGCTTCTGAAGAATGAAGGAGACCTTTCTATCTAACAGCATTCTGCAAGACTAGATGGGCAGCTCAAATGAAAGCCATTGAGGCAACTATAGTAAATTTTTTAGAGTATTATTGAATGCCGAGAAGATGAAACTGTGGCTGAATGCAGGAATAGTGAGGACGTATATTGAGCAAAAAGCAACATGTCCGATGGATTGACTGTTCTACCAGTACAGGAGTTGGCTGGGGCTCGACCCGCTCCGGGGTGGCGGGGAGGCACACCGACTCACTACCTGCTGGGGCTTGAGTGCTTTGTCTGGCTGCAGGGTCTCGCCCGGCAGCCCTTGCAGTTCTGAAAGATACAGGAAGCCCAACCCCAGCTCAGGGCGGGCACCAACGTTAGGTCAGGGCTCAGACCCTTAGTCAGGGTTGAGCAACAGTAAACAAAGTGTTTAGCCCAGGCGCTAAGTCAGGGCGGGGCAACAAACATAGAGGCAGAGCTCAGGCCCTCAGGCAGGGCTGAGCCACAGTAATAGGCCTGAGCCTCAACAGGCCTGGGAGAGGGGGGAGCCTGCCACCCACCGGTTGGGTGGCGGGGGGACGCAGGCCCTCCCACTCCACTGCGTCCCAGCCTGGAGCCCTAGCAGCGGCAGAAGACCCGCTGCTTCGTCAGTGGGGATCCTGGCCGCAACACACTGACATCGGATCTGGCATTGCTGCAGCCAGACTGGGGTCGGCTGCCCCCGGGCTACTTCCAGACTCCCCCTCTGGGCCTACCTGGGTGCTGGCGTCGGCCTCGGGGGGATCCTGGACCATGGGTTCATCCAGCCAGGGATCGTTTGGCAAGTCCGGGAGCTCCTCTGGGTAGCGGGCGCAGGGCAGGCCCGGCGGCTCCTCGGGGTAGTGGGCGCAGGGCAGGCCCGGCGGCTCCTGGCAGTCACTCCGGGCCGTGGAGGTTTCCCAGCCCTGAGCTAGGCTGGAGATGTCTGGTTTCTCCGGCTGCTGGGGCCAGACTGAGTTCTGAGGGCCCGGTTTTATACTTCTGGGTCGCCGCCTGAGCCTCTGAGGGGCGGGCTCAGAACTCCCTAGCTCCGCCCACTCCGGCCTCCGGATGGGCTCTTCCCCTTCCGGGGCGACGGGGAGCCACACCGACTCACTACATACCTCAGTATGTTATGCTGGAATAGGATCTTCATTATCATGGCTGCAGTCTCTGGAATCTTTCGGTCAAAGAAAATTGACCTGATCCAAGTCCTCCAACACAGTGAATGAGCTCAGCAATCTCAGATCTGAAAAAAATTATGAGGGAAATTGTAAAAATCTCAGACCAGGTGGGAAGCAATGGGTTATGAAAATACAAACTATCCAAGCCACAGGAAGAGATGTGTACTCTGCATGTATGATGCATTTGTACACAATTGTGTGTTAGAAGCAAAGGAGAACCATCGAAGGAAATATTTTGAGGTCTTGGATATAATTGGTGAACTAAAATCTCAGTGTGAGGGAATTCAAGAGGTAGCTGCTTGATTTCGTTTTATCCATCCCAGGTGACTTCAAAAATATAACTTTAGCAGAGTCAAAGGAGAAAGTTGTTAAACTCGTGGGGAAATACTCATTTTTCTTTAGACTTGGTTTACGAGATTGTAAAATTATTCATCTTGAAAAACAAAGGACACAGAGGTATTCAGTTTGTCCCTTGGAGTCCAGAGCTACTTGAATTTCATAGTGTCAAGTTATCCCGGTGATGTTTTACCAGAAATGAAAATATTGTGTTGACTCTCACCCTACTAATTGGAGTGCCTAGCGCTGAATGTGAAATGAGCACATTAAGATGTGTCAAAAATTATGTGTGTTCAACACTGTCACAGACACGGTTGAGTGATCTTGCGCTTCTTCCAACAGAGAAAGACAAGACAGCATCATCAAACAATTGGCCCAGGAAAAGTATTGCCATTGGTGCGAGGTTCCAGTAATCGAAAATACGCAGGCCAACACAGTTTGGGTGAGATTCCATTTATGTTTGGGCCTGTGATTTTTTATTTATTTATTTTAAACTTTTATATTCAAAAAAGCCTAAGGCGATGTGACTGTGCTGCATGTTTGCTGACCATGTTCTGACCTTTAAATCTGTCCCTAAGTTTGGCCTATCCTAGTTCTCTGGTTTTGGATGGATTGTGGGTTTTATGTTGTGTTAAAGCACCGAAGGCTTGAGATGGGATTTTTTTTTTAATAAATCTAAAACCAAGTTTCTAAAAATCCCTTGACTCACTTAGAATGACTAACTCACACAAGCTGATCTGAAGGTGACTTCCTGTGTGATTTCTGCCAAGTCGCCTAACTTTGCTGTCCTTGGTCATAGAAAGAACAGGAGTACTTGTGGCACCTTAGAGACTAACAAATTTATTAGAGCATAAGCTTTCGTGGGCTACTGCCCACTTCTTTGGATGCATATAGAATGGAACATATATTGAGGAAATATATATACACACATACAGAGAGCATGAACAGGTGGGAGTTGTCGTGACAACTCCCACCTGTTCATGCTCTCTGTATGTGTGTACATATATCTCCTTAAGACAACTCCCACCTGTTCATGCTCTCTGTATGGGTGTACATATATCTCCTTAAGACAACTCCCACCTGTTCATGCTCTGTGTGTGTGTGTGTGTATATATATCTCCTCAATATATGTTCCACTCTATATGCATCCGAAGAAGTGGGCAGTAGCCCACCAAAGCTTATGCTCTAATAAATTTGTTAGTCTCTAAGGCGCCACAAGTACTCCTGTTCTTTTTGCAGATACAGACTAACACGGCTGCTACTCTGAAACTTGGTCATAGAGTGTCTTAGGTACATTTTCCCCTAAATTGGTATTAAATTATACCAAGGGTTGGAGCACTAGTTCAGACAGACCACTAGCATTTTAAGCAAAGAATTGTCTGACCATGCTCAGGGTAGATCTAGGCAACAGGCTGGTTAAAACCCCTGGGCCCTGTCTACCTGTTGCTCTAGCCAATGCTCGACCTGCATTGGGAGGCTTGTCTAAAATTCCTGACACAGATGCAACCTCTATACCTCCATCTGTAAGTTTTCCTACTTGTCCTCTTATTGCGTTTAAGCATCTTCAGTGATTTTGCACAGGTGCAACTGATTGGAACTAAGTATGCAAAGGCCTGATGTACACACAGGAATAGGAGCCAGCTCACACACTCAACTGGGCTGGTTCTGCAGGGATCTCAGAAGTGAAATGTAGCAAAAAGAAAGGGGTTGTCACTAAACTAACAGATCCAACTCTGAATAAACACACAGGGTAGATCGAAGCAATAAGGGTGATTTCTATAAAATTCAACGGCAAAAAACCTACATTCAGGCAGAGTTAGGATTGCTTGGTGGCGTGTCATCCCCTTGCAGAACGCTAAGCGGAGCAAAAGTCAAACGTCTAAAAACCAAGAAATGTAGAATTAAGGTTGTCCATGCAACCTTAACTGTGCCTTCTTTCAGCAATGCTCTAATATGCCCTGTTATTACACATACCTTTACTCTGCCAACCCCACAGTTGCTGAAAGGTTTAAACCTTTCACCTGCTTTTGCAGCCCATGCACTCTCACCCACAAGAATCCATCTAATGCTATTAAAGGACAAAAAGGGAAGAAGTTGGATGAGCACTAGCTCCATTAGATCCTAGCAATCACAGAGGGGGCAACGAGACGGATTCAGGTACCCCCAAAGCAACCCAGGCCTCCCACACCTCAACTCATGAGGGGAAAAGGTGGGGCTCAGCCCCCCTTTGCCCCAGGGGCAAGAGCCCTTCAGATTTGGGCACACACATGGGAGGGAAGAATGTGGGGCCGACAGGTGCCCATCTGTATTCTCCCCCAGTCCCATGCCACTCATCCCAACAATCTCGGATCCCGCCCCTCCAATTCCCCTAACCCCCACGTCTCACTCAGTTGCACCCCCAACCTCTCTCCCCTTCTCTATGACGCATCTCCAGCTATCCTTCTCCCCTTGCTGCAGCCCAAAACCCCTCTCCCCCTCTGCTCTGCCCCTTAATGCCCCTCCCTCCCAGGAAGCATTCATATGTTTAATTCATGGAGTGTATGTACCCCATGCTAGCCCAACAACCAAGGGTTTATACAGGCACTGCTGACCACTGCTGATTGGCAGCCTCACAGCAGCTGGGAGGATAAAAGGGCTGGGAAGCAGAGGGGTGGGGTGGCTAAAAGAAGAGCGAGCAGACTGGCGAAAGGAACTCCTGTCAGCAAACTGCTAGAGAGCTACCAAGCAACAATACCCCAGGAAGGGTGGAACAGACCAACAGGCTGAAGAGTCTGCAGAGGCCTGGGGGAAGGTTGATGGTGCCTGTTAGAGGACTTATTTTTTTACCCTTTTACTTCCCTGGTCCTTCTCGCATGAACAGAGAGCAACAATACCCGAAGTCCGAAGGTGCAAACAGTTCAATGTTTATTGGGGTGAACTTTCAGCAAGCATGATTCCAGTTTCCTTCCTCAGTGTCCCCCTTCCCAGCTCTGACACCACAGAGCCTTGCCTGTGTCCCTGTTCCCATTCCACCCACTCTTGGCGAAACAGGATTCTAATAACCCCACCCCCATTCCCTGTTCCCATTCCCCTCCTTACTTCCTGATTGACTGCAGACTATATAGTAAAACTTAGTTTTGCTTAGCTATACCTTAACCAATCATTTTACTAAAATTTAACTAACCAATCCTAACACATTGAAACATAATTATTTAACCAATTATATCCTACCACCTTCATTGGTTTACACCCAACAAAATTAATTATACAGCAGACAGAAACAATCACAGAACCAGACAGAGATTATACAGACAAACAATAGGGAAGTGGAGACTACAGTTATAAAACAATACAGAAATGAGGATTTCACATCCCAGTTATTGATAAGTGAGTTCTTGCCAGACAGGATGCTAAGTTTCCTTTTAATCTTCTAGGCTCTTCCGTTTCTCTGGAGGTGATAGAATATCAGGACAGGATTGTATTCCTAACAGCCCCATAGCACCTTATTTCAATGTGACTAGTTTGAAATGTAAGAATGTAACTGTTCGCTTCCCAGCTTATGGCTGGCCTGCCTGCTTAGCCTAAAAACAGGGCCTCAGATTGTCACAGTAAAAAAAGGCCCTTACATCGGCAAACAATAATTTTAATTCTTTCTTGTATACCCCTGTAACTAGCTAAGTGATAAGACTACACCTAAATTCTTAAAGTATAGGCCTTTGCAAACAGCCCTGAATATTTATATCCTAACAGTGCCCTGAGCTCCTTCCTGAGTCAATGAACACTGATCCTGCTTGTCTAGCCTGAGGGCCCTGAGCTGGAACCCAGTGCAGTGGTGAGCTGGGTTCCCTACCAACTCCCTGATGGCCTTGAGAACAGGGGTTTTTCAGATTCCTGGGCACCAGGAATAGACAAGAGTCCTGCTAAGCTGAGTGATCGGTGCCACGTCCCACTTGGCCAGGAGGGGGCACTGTTGCACTGCCACACCAACTCCACCTCCTCTTCCCCCCAAAAAATCTGCTACCCACGACTCTCAAATTGTAGCCACTCCGTCCAAACCTTTTGTTTTAGGTGGGGGTTCATGATTAACTTACTCTTAGTTATGTTAATTGAAGGGTGAATTCACAGCTCTTAGTCTCACTGAGATCTGTGATTCATCTTCATACAATATCAGGGTTGGAAGGGACCTCAGGAGGTCATCTAGTCCAACCCCCTGCTCAAAGCAGGACCAATCCCCAGACAGATTTTTGCCCCAGATCCCCCATCAACGATTGAACTCACAACCCTTTAGCAGGCCAATGCTCAAACCACTGAGCTATCATTAGTACCTCTCAGTTGAACAGTACAAGGCAGAAGGAAATTGGTTTTAGAGGGGGAGGGCTGTAACTCGGCAACCCCTTGGTCAAAAGACCCCAAGTATGGATCACTAACACTAGCCCGTGCCCCACATTTCAAAGCATCTGAGTAACCGTTTGGATTGTAGAGCACTTACAAGCATCAGCCTTTAAAGCCTATAAACCGGAAGGAAAGGAAACCCTCTGGCCATTTTTCTGTATTGGCGGGTGTGCACTGTAAACAACGTCCATTTTCTCAAATCCTATCCTCAGTTTGTATCCCCCAAAGATTTAGTGGGTGTCACCACTATCTCGGGTAAAACTAGACAGATTGAGACCATTTTGAACTGCCTCACATCAATAGTTTTATCTCTAGCTCTGTGCAAAAAAAACCCCATCATCAACAACAACACAAAAACCAACCGCAGATAGAAACTTTTTGAGAAATGGGTATTTTTTCAGGTCCTAAGTCTTCATAGCCCCTACCCTGCACTCTCTTGAGGCACACTAAATTTCAAAGGAGCCCTACTAAGCATGTCAATTTTAGAAGACTTAGAAACGTTGATCTTTAAATGGAAGTTGTAATATAATCTTAACTCTGGGGCGCTGCTGGACCACTATAATTACTCTTCAGAGTGCAACTGGACTTCGTTTTTGTTTTAAATCACTTTCTTAATCTATAGCAATTGATTAATAAGTTAACCTTTCACTTTTGATATGGCTTTCTTTGTGCATTTTTCTCAATGAAAATAGACCAAACCATTTCATGTTCAGGCTCTTAAGCATTTATCAAAGTGCTACTATAACAAGGTGGCAAATCCTTCAGGGGGATATATGTTGGCTGGTTTTTGAATAAAGAAATCTTGGGGTAGCTTTATTTAAGTACAGATTTAATACAAAACCAACTAACCAATCAAGCTGAGGGTGTTATATGGAACACACTTAAAAAAAAATAAATTTAAATTTTAATACTTACAAATAACTTTATTCTCAATTGCATCTGTAATTTACCTGGCCAGGATGGCAGCAGCTGAATGTAGTTGGGAAGAAAAATGTGTACTTTGTCAGATCCTGAGAGAAACATGGTATAGCCCAGGGGTCGGCAACCTTTCAGAAGTGGTGGGCCGAGTCTTCATTTATTCACTCTAATTTAAGGTTTCCGGTGCCAGTAATACATTTTAACGTTTTTAGAAGGTCTCTTTCTATAAGTTTATAATATATAACTAAACTATTGTTGTATGTAAAGTAAATAAGGTTTTTAAAATGTTTAAGAAGCGTCATTTAAAATTAAATTAAAATGCAGAGCCCCCCGGACCGGTGGCCAGGACCCAGGCAGTGTGAGTGCCACTGAAAATCAGCTCGCGTGCCGCCTTTGGCACATGTGCCATAGGTTGCCTACCCCTGGTTTAGGCCAAGGCCTAAAGCTGATGGAAGGCTGGTGTGGGATCTACTCTTGGTTCAGAATAAGGTTTGAATTTATATTTGTTTCCCAGTAGAACACCCACAGGCCATTCCCTACTCAGAAGCTAAACTAACCAAACGGCTTGTGAGGCAAAGTGTGCAAATACTGCATTTCAGAGCTATTTGTGCAAGTTAAATTGCCCAATAGGTGCAGAAAGGCTGAAAGCTCCAGCTCTTAAGACTTTATGAGAGTGGCTCTTGCTTAACCAGATACACAATGAGGCCCCCTACCAAGCTAATGATACTTGTTTTCTTTTCAGAGTCCATGAGAAGTGGAGCCACCCTGAGCACAGCATGAGTTCAGGTCTGATTGAGAACTACGTGGCAGCCATGGTGCTGAGCGCAGTTGGTGATACCCTGGGCTATTACAATAGAAAATGGGAGTTCCTGCAGAATGGCCAGGAGATTCACAGGCAGCTTGCACAAATGGGCGGGTTGGGAAACATCTGTATAGCAGGCTGGAAAGTCAGCGATGACACAGTGATGCACTTGGCTACAGCTGAAGCTCTGATAGCTGCTGGGAAACAACCACGTTTTCCAGAGCTCTATTCCCTTCTAGCAAAGCACTACAAGGACTGTATGGATGACATGGTTGGCAGAGCTCCAGGTAATCCTTCTGAAATTGTATCTGTACCATACAAAACAATGTTTCCTTCCTTTGTGTAATTTTCTGTCTCTCATTCCCTCTTTAGTTAAGGTTGCCAGAGAGTGCCCCTGTTTTTAGATGCTTATAACTTTACCAAACTAAGTGTTCAGGCTGAAATTTTACATGCGAGTTGTCTGCATCGGACTGATTTTTCTGGAAAGTTCCAAATAAAACGGTTCTGCCATTTCCAAGAACAAGATTGGGAAAAAGACATTATTTTGCTAATATTCCTACAACAGTTTCTTTGAGAAGTTCTAGCACCTGCATGTTTGGATCTGGGACTTGAAATTTGGCAGGGACCTTTATGTCAGGGATGTGCCTTTTCAATTCCTGTGAAAAATAAGCCCACACATGGCCCAGTTATAAGCCTTTGGGGGGAAAAAAATCTCACTTTTACATATGCTCAGTAAAGACACTGGAGAGTTTGGCAGCTAAATTCCCGGAAGATTCTATCTGCATCGAGCATGCTCCAGCCCAGGGTGGAAGGGGCTAAACAGGATGCGACTGTCCCTGCTGGGGGGCCACTACAGGGCCTGGCACCAGACCTGAGAGCAGGAAGCCTTTTTGTCCTGTGCTCTCAATGCCTCCCCACCTCTGCCCTGCTGGCACCCTGGCAGTGTGGAGGAGAAGCAGCCTGATCCAAATGCAGAGTGGACAAGAGCTGGATTGGGAAGGGACAATGGAGGAAGTAGATTGGAACAAACTGCTCAGAGCTGGGGAAAAAACTGGCTAGCTAAATTGACTGGATATATAAGTAATACAATCAAAATAAAATATTTCAACATTATCAGTGAAATTTTTAGAATTTCTGTTCAGGGCCGCCCAGAGGATTCAGGGGGCCTGGAGCAAAGCGGGGGGCGCTTGTGCTCACCGGGCGGTGCTCTGAGTCTGCGGCAGCAGCTCCTTTACTCGCTCCGTGTCTTCGGCAGCACTGAAGGACCTGCCGTCGAAATGCCGCCGAAGACCCGGAGCGACTGAAGGGCCCCCCGCCGCCGAAGTACCACTGAAGATCCGGACCGCCGCCGGGTGAGTAAAAATTAAAAAGGCGCCTCTAGCCAGGAAAGGGATTCTCGGCCAGGATTTGCGGGGCCCCTGTGGGGCCCAGGGCCTGGGACAAATTGCCCCACTTTCCCCCCCCCTTAATTCTGGCATTTCCTAACTTTTCAGTACTTGGCTTTGCATCCTTAACATTCTTTTAACATACAGTAGAAACTCAGAGTTACGAACTCACCAGTCAATCTCACACCTGATTTGGAACTGGAAGCACACAATCAGGCAGCAGCAGGAAAAAAAATCTAATACAGTACAGTACTGTGTTAAATGTAAACTACTAAAGAATTAGGGAACGCAACATTTATCTCCTGCACAGCAAAGTTTCAAAGCTGTATTAAGTCAATGTTCAGTTGTAAACTTTTGAAAGAACAACCATAAGGTTTTGTTCAGAATTACGAACAGCCTCCATTCCCATAGTGTTTGTAACTCAGAGGTTCTACTGTAGTTTTTGGTCTGCAGTATACATCTTGTGCATACACATATACACAAAAATAAATATGCACGGTTAAGGCTACAAAATTTACACAGATGTGATATGAAATTAAGTACAAGAAAAGAGATAAGCCACATCAAATATTTTTTAAAACCACAATGATCTTTACCGGTAACACCTTAGTTTATTAAAATCTCAATCCCTTTTACTAGTTCTGCTGTGACAGCAGGACAATAAAGTACAGCAATCACAGGTTAGCCTGTTTTACTTTCTAATTTTCCCACACTAGTACGATGCTGCAAAGTTTGGGTTGCAAACATTCATGGGGAATATCTGGATGTTTGTGGAATGAGTAAATGGAGACACAAAATTTACCACTGATGATTTATACAATTCATGGAAACTTTGCAGTTGTTAGGCTATAAATATGCTTTGGACCTAAACTGATGAACACTCATGACTCCAGGTAAGCCAAAGGAAATTGCAGGTGCTTAGCAGCTTTGAAAATTAGGCCATCTCTGCTTAGGTAACAAAGTAGGGACTGACGTACCTTACTTTAGGCACATTGACAATTTTTGCCACTATCCTAGGTGGTTAAGAGAGAGTCTCTCTGTAGTTACAGCTGTAGCTAGCTTTCTGTTACAAGACTGATTTTCTACTCTTAACTTACATGTTCAAAACTTTCATCAAGCTACACCTCTACCTTGATATAACGCTGTCCTCGGGAGCCAAAAAATCTTACCGCGTTACAGGTGAAACCACGTTATATCGAACTTGCTTTGAACCGCTGGAGTGCGCAGCCCCGCCCCCTCCCCCGGAGCACTGCTTTACCGCGTTATAACCGAATTCGTTTTATATTGGGTCGCGTTATATCGGGGTAGAGGTGTATTTGAAATATTTTGCCAGAGAAGAAGTTTTTAGGAGTTGTCTGACAAAATCTGTTGAGAGACAGAGTCTGGGGGTGGTGGGGAAATCAAAAAGATTGTTTAACTTTTTAAAATTAGTTATTTGCTTTCACACACTAAATTTGGCCTGGAAATGCCAAACTTGTTTTATTTTGTTGGCCTTGACAAGGACTGAGACTTTGATGCTGTTTTATATATTTCTCTCTCTCTCTCTCTCTCTCTCTCTCTCTCTCACACACACACACACACACACACACACACACACTTTTTTTATATAATAAGG